CTTTTTGCACAGATTTGCACAAAAGTTGAGATAGGTAAAAACGTGGTATCAGGATGCTAAACTATAAACATCATATTAAGTGAGGTACATGTAGACATACCTGTTTTCTTTATTTTAACATTGAAATTAATGCCTACCAGCTTTGAGCGTTTTATTTAATAAGACCTTTGATCACTAGGTCAGTAGACATTAATTTCACTGTTGAAAAAACAAAACAAAACAAAATCAGGGTATTTGCTCAAAAGCATGTACCCACTTAAATATAATGTTTATATTAATAAGACTTGTTTATGAAATCATTTAATATCTTTGTTAAAATCACTTACAGAATTTTGTTTCTTTACAATAACATATATAAATACTTAGTGTCAACTCAAGATTTTATGGTTTCCAATAAATTTTATTATAAAAAATGTAAAGTTTATAATAATTTAAAAAATACCTGTAATTTAACATAATCCAGTAATTTTATTCTCTAATTTTTAACTAATGCGAAGACAGAAATGAATGAAGTTAGCGTTTATTCAGATTTTATTAATTCGATTAATAATTCTCATGTAATTGTATTTTGTGTGGATTGACTAAGTGCATAAACTCATGAGTTATTGCCCTTTACATGTTTCTTTCTGTTGTTAGAGTTATCCCCCTTACATCAATAGTGTTTCTATTGAGAAACGAGTCATAAATTATTGGAAATGAAACAAACCGTTACTAATAGATTTTGTAGTGAGATGGTATCTAAGCGAGTAGCATGCATTTTTAAATATTTCAGCTATAGTGTATCAAATTTAACAATAATCTGTATTTAAAATTGTTTTAAACCACTGAATAAGAGCCGTTTGAGTGACAGAATTTCAAATTCGATTGGGTTTTTCGCCATAAAAATTAAATTAGGTTCAAGAAATGTAATCTTTTTGAATATATATATATATATATATATATATATATATATATATATATATATATATATATATATATATATATATATATATATCGTATGGAGTGCTGGTGTTAATAAAACAGAGCCTGATGTAATATAACAGAGGTATATTAATAAAGATTATCCCTCACGACTTGGAGTTTCATGAACAGCGCAATCTTCAGGTGCTGGGTAAAGACTGATCGTTACATAATTTAAATTTTAATAAGAAATATTTGGTTAACACAATGGTGGCTCAGACCATATATTGTATGGGGATTACAGTTTTTTATTTCAAAAACATATATTGCATTTATTTTATGTATATATATAAAATAAAAGGGGATAAATGTTTTATTTTATATTTAAATAAACAGGCAATAATTGTATTTATAACAAAAAGATTTATAAAATCTTATGATCGTTTAAGGAAAAAAACTTGACCATGGACTTGAATACTGGTTATTACAAACCATATACCAAAAATCTATATAACCATAGATACGTTAATAAAGTGTTCAACCAACCATTCAATATTTTAAATAATTTGCATAAATCAGTCCAAGTTAGAGTATCTACTAACTTCAGCAATAAGAAAATTTTTGATAATAATAAAAGTTAAATAAATAAAAGCGTTAGAACTAAACAATCATAAAGTTAATTTAGAATATTTAGAAAAAGAAACAAAAAAAGGTAAAAATAAACAGAGACATGTAATATGGATTAATCCACCTTTTAATCGTAATGTTCAAACGAATATTGGATGAATTTTCCTAAATTTAATTCATAAATACTTTAATCACTCTGCAATACTAAAGAAGATTTTTAACAAAAATAATGTAAAGATCAGTTATAGCTGCGTTAAAAACATCGATAAATCAATATCCCAACATAAAAATATTATACTAAATAAATATATGTCCAACAAAGACGTTAACCTTTTTAAAGATAAATGCAACTGCCGAAAAATACGATATGTCCCTTAAACAGCCAATGTGTGACTGATCATATTGTATACCGAGCCAGCATACATTCCGGTAACGATGTCAAATTTTATTTTCGTTCCACTGAAAATCCTTGGAGATTTCGTTTCTATCATTATTAAATGAATTTAGGCAATGTAAAATATATGAACATTACTGCTCTCTCCAATCATTTCTGGTAATTAAAGAATTATGCTAATACATTCATTATTACATGGGATATTGTAGTAAAAATCAAATATTACAATGAGAAAGGCAACAGATGTAATTTATGCCTTATAGAAAAATTAGTTATTTTAAAACACTTAAATAACCCCCACTTATTAAAGAAAATAAAATAAATAAATTGATGGTTACACGTAGGGGAAAAATAAATATCCGTTAAAATACGTTGATCCAGATTAATTTTAATGTAAATTATAATCTTTTCCTTTTTTTGTTTTTTATGGTTCGTTTATTTTTATATAAAAGTTAGAAGTTGAATAAATTTCTGTTGCTTGTAGTCAGTTAATGTGTTAAGAGATGTTCAATGTTCGTATATACCTGTATGCGCGCGCACGCGTGTGTGTGATAGTGTCTTCCATTAAGGAACAGACGCAGGCTCTTCATTGACCACATTGTTATGGTGCGAGAGAAAGGCAAAAGAGAAAGAGTTGAAAATGTCGCTCGTATTTATCTACTAGTCACGTGATAGGTTCGAAAAACATAGATTTTTGGCGGAAATATTTTCGTTCAGGCCAGAAACTAGGTCGATACAATTCGGACGTAATTTAAAACATGATATTAGGATTAACTGACCAATGAGGAGTCAGAGAAATAGTAAGTTAGGATTTTAATTCCGTGATCCACTTTTTGCACAAAATTGAACAAGTTATTTTTAGCTATTTGAAATGATGTAGAATTAAAATTCTACACAAATATCTCATACAGCCCGATATCATTTTGCGTGATGAGGACTTAACATCAACGAGGACGCCTTCATCACATCTTATCAACAGGGAAGTCGCCAGGAGCAGACAATATTCCAGCAGAACTGCTTAAGCATGGAGGGAATGAATTGGTCATTGTAATAACATCGATCTACCAGAAAATCTGGGCGACAAAACAGTGGCCCATAGAATGAACTTAATCACTCATCTTCCCCATGCCCAGAAAAGGAAACTTCCGCTATTCTACAGGACCATCAGCCCCATTAGCCCCACCAGTAATATCATGCTACGAGTCATTTTAAACAAACTCGAGAATGAGGCTGGAGAACAAGCTGGATTTAGGGCAGACAGAAGTATTGTAGAGCATATCTTCAATTGCAACATCAGCGGGATCTGTTCCATTTATTGGATTTCAATAAGGCCTTCGACAGATTGTGGCATGACGGTCTATGGCAGGTCCTGAGGAATTTTGACATAGAGGAGGGCCTCATCGAAAACCATCGAGGCACTGTATGACACCCACAGTGCGGTCCTCCTTAACAGTTAGGTTGGTAACTATTTCAAGGCCACATTTGGTGTCCATCAGGACTGTTTGCTTTCCTCAACATTGTTCAGTCTCTTTCTTGATAACATCATGCAAAAAACCCTTCTAGACTTTCAGTCCACTATATCCATAGGAGGAAGGGAGAATCATTAATAACCCCCGCTTTGCTGATGACATTGACTTGATGGTCACACCAACAGATTGACAGACAGAGCAGGAGCGTATGGAATAGAAGTGAACACTGAGAAGGGTAAAGTCCTGATCAACAGCACAACCAACACCAGGGACCAGATTTTCATGAACAACTGGAAGAAATGGACACCTTTAAATAGCTTGGCGTTACCCTCGCCAAAGGTAGACGCTCTATAGCAGAGATTAAGACCAGTAAGATTTGGAAGATCAAAAACATCATTAACAACTTCGCTGATGACATTGACTTGTTGGGCGCTCGCAACTCCGAATTGCAGGTTCTCATTAACAGATTGACAGACAGAGCAGGAGTGTATGGAATGGAAGTGAGCACTGAGAAGAGTAAAGTCCTGGTCAAAAGCACAACCAATATCAGGGCCCAGATCTTCATAAATGGAAAGCAACTGGAAGAAGTGGGCGCCTTTAAATATCTTAGCGTTATCCTGACTCTACAACAGAGATCAAGACCAGAATGGCTATGGCAACATCAGCAATGGCAAAACCCAGTAAGATTTAGAAGAGCAAAAACATCAGCTTTCTAACCAAGATAAAGCTCTATAAGTCTCTGGTGCTGTCCATACTGCTCTGTGGATGTGAAAACTGTACTCTGATAGCAGATACCACCAAGAGAGTCGAAACATTTGAAACGAAATACTTCAGACGACTTCTCGGGATCTCCTGGACTGAACACAAGATGAATGTCTTTGTACAGGGCCAAGTAACACAACTGGCAGGCCCCCAGGAGCCCCTCTTAGCAACTCTAGGAGAAATAGGAGAAAAGGAAAAAGAGGAGAATAGGAGAAAGAGGAGAAAATTCGTTGTGGCTTGGACATGTCATACGCCACAATACTCTATCCAGGACGGTCCTTCAAGGTACCTTGAAAGGGGGTACACTTAGGGAAGGCAGTCAAAAAGCTAAGATGGACAACATCAAAGAATGGACCAGGATGGACACTCCGACGCTGTTTCGTGAAGCAGAAAACAGATTTGGTTGGCGGCGACTGACTGCATAATCGTAGCTCATGTCTCATTTACGATCTGTTCGGTCATGAGAAAAGATAAGGAGGAGTTGGAGTAGGGAATTAAATTTTTTATATTTAGTATTAAAATATTTATATTTAGTAGGAAATTAAAACTTTTATGTTTTGCACAAAAATCGCAAATTTGTTTTTTTTCTGTAATTTAAATTTTTTATATCTACGTAGCTCGACATCAGCATTGGAAAGATTCTCACTGTTTACACACCTTAAACTTTTAAACTTTTCCCATGTTTTCGTAGCGCTAAGAGAAGATTAATTTCTGATGTGTGGGTAGACATAATCTCTTGCAAGACAGTTTTTGTAACATCAAGCTAGTTTTCATTTTCAGTGTCGGAGAGAAGGCATGTGACATTTCTATACTTTGTTAGCCTGTTCTATTTATTATAAATTTCATATGGCCACATAACGTTGAAACACCGGTTTCCGTACGATCACCGGAGTTAAGCAACGTTGAGCCTGGTCACTATCTAGATGGTTGACCGCTTGAGAATACCAGGTGCTGTCCGAATGATAATGGGAATGTGGAAAAGAGTTCAATCGTCAGTGAACCGAGGAAATTAACGTTTCTCAGTGGGAACGTAATTATCACATTGTGTTACATCCTGGAGAAAAGAGGAGAAAAGGAGTGAGATAGGAAATGTTTGCCTTTTTATAGAACTCAACAACGCCACCTAACGAAGTTTTAACGAAACCAAGTGGAGGTAATCATATTTCTGGTTCCTTTACTCTTAGTATCATGGGAAAATGCATTTCTTTTTCTTTTTTTTATTAATCATTATTATTTTTTAACGATTTTATTTCATTTTCCTCACAGTGTTTACTGTACATCCTGATTTGATCGGAGCAGTCCCGGTTTAAAGGATTTGTCCTGCTAGAGATATAAACTATCTGTGTGTGTGTGTGTGTGTGAAAGTGAGAGAGCCCTAAGACCCTTTATTATACAAGAATCTAAACATATAATTGTTGTAGCATACCAACGGACGGTAATGGGCATGTCCCCATTTTCATACATACAGTAGTAAATACTGTATGTTGGTCTGCCGGACAAACTTTCTGCCGACGGGTAGGAAGGATCTCCAGACGAAGCTATGTCGGGAAACAGCTACCCGACCTCGTTTTATACGGGGTCTACGAGGAATATTTGGACCGAGCCTAGGGGCTCGGATACCCCACATTAAACTTGACTCACTTCTAGCAATTGACTATTTCTTTTACGCACAGCTGGCGAATCTTATATGTGTTGTTCGTGTCCTAAGTATTATCGTTCATTGCCATAATTCATTACCAACATTCTATTCAGTAATCTTCCCTAAGTTACAACAATAATAAATATGGAAAACTTCCGTTCGTGACGAGGAAATTCTGGTAAGTCTACGTCATTCTTTTTTTACGCCATCCTTTTTTTTCTAGATAGTTACATTGAATGAAATGCTGAAAACATCCATTGATGGAAGTTATAATTCTGTCATGATGTGTGGTAGAGAACACAGAAATTCTAATTATCTTCCCAAAACTGGCGATTTTCAAAGAAACAAATAATGTCTCACGTCATCAACTGCGTCGTGAAAAAATTCGTTGACTACTTGTGACGTCATGGCGAGATTTTGCTTCCGAGTCGATTTCTCTACTACAAAGTGGTCCCAACGTCGTTCAAACACAAAAGAAAATGACGGAAGAAAATGAAAAAGGTTTTAAATGCGGAATTATGCGCAAGAGGAAGATAAAAAAGGAGGTAAATGAAAATTGAATCCTTATCCTCTTTGCTGCTGATTCCGCTTTTTTTTGTCGTTAAAGGTCGTTTCAGTCGTCATTTCAAAAAGACTATATCTTTCATATTATCGACATTGTATTTCAAAGAGTTTTTGCTGTTTTTTAGATTATATATTGCCGGTCGATTTATGAAGATTAAATTCGATCTGCCTGGTTTCATTACCTTCCTAAAAAACTCATAATTTTCGAAATTTGATATATTCACTGATGAATTATGAGCAAAGATTCCTTCGGAGAAAACTGTTAGGTCTGAGCTGTGAATTTCGTGAACTTCAAACTTACATCCTGTATTTTCAAAGTCGTTAATCATAAGAAAGAAACAAAAACGACTTTAACACTACCAAGACGAATAGTTTTAACTGATTGAAATTTCCTTACTCAAACTTTTATATCATTATGACACTGAATTATTTACAAATAAAAAGGTCTGATTATTTAATTCAGATAATTTAGAGTGTTGAGCTTACATACGAATACTTAAGGATTAGATTTCTGAAGATATGGTAGAAATATTTGTAAAAAATTAGAATAATTAATTGCATATTGACAGTACTTTACTTTATATCACGACAGTACTTTACTTTATATCACGATCTTAGACAACTGCTGTATTTATCCACACGTACATTCCTTATACAGTGTAACCCGGATATAAGAGAGTTGTAGGGACCGGAGAAGCAGTCTCTTATATCCGGGTTTCTCTTATATCCGGGTTTGGTCTATTTTGTTTAGGTAACACAGGCTCTAATTTGGGACCAGAGAAAATCTCTCTTATATCCGGGTTTCTCTTATATCCGGGTCTCTTATATCCAGGTTACATTGTACTGTTCTTTTCGTTATGCTACCAAAGGTAGTATATCAATTTAAATATACTGATATAACCTATACGCACAATCAAATGGTACCAATTTGGTTATAATTTATAGCCACCTACAACATGCCTACTCCATTGAAGGCAATAGGCATTGGATGGAAAAGACACAAATCGATGATGTGTTCTAGTTTTGATAATTATAAAATAAACAGTCTTTAGACTGTATATCAACGTTGATAATTGCGTGTGTGAGAATATCCCCTATACAGTTTTCTTCGTTTCTTGATAGTAATCAAAGGTAGGATAGTGTTTTAAGCACATTGAATATAAGCGATGCGGACAGGTAGTTATTACAAACGGTACCAATTTAGTTACAACCGGGAGCCTATCTATATTATGTCTACTCCATCATAGGCAATGGATATTAGATAAAAAAGGGAACAAAATCAAAATATAGGCCACCAGCTGTTAATAAGCGCCAATCTATGCAAGCCTGTCCATTATCTATCTATCTATCTATCTATCTATCTATCTATACTAAAACCCAATTAAGAAGAAATGTAAACACGACCGACTGTCAATTTCACGATTAGGCGATCATTATTGCCTCCTAAGCGTGAAACTGACAGTCGTTCATCTTAATCTGTTTTTACTATTATAGTAGCTTTGTCGGCTTGACATTGAAAGCTAGGTGATAAGTTGTTTTTAATATTAACACTTTTGCATTATTATTTATCTCTCTCGCTCTTTCTCTCTCTTTCTCTCGATCTATCTATATGTGTGTGTCTTTAATTTTTATGTGAACAGGTTTAAGGTTCCATAAACTTATTGAAAAGTGAAGAATTGACAACAAAACTTTGACAAAATATAACAAATTTCTTATGCAGAATTTTTACAATTTCTTAAAATCTTTTCCTTGATAACAAAGTCTTTGTGAGCTTGATACATATAGCTGAGCTTGATATATATATATATATATATATATATATATATATATATATATAATTATTTAATTAAAAATATGATTTCAACTCGCGACATAAAAGGTCTCATGTTTCAATATTTTCTATATATTTTCACACACACACACACACACACACACACACACACACACACACACACACACACACACATATATATATATATATATATATATATATATATCAAGCTCAGCTATATATATATCAAGCTCACAAAGACTTTGTTATCAAGGAAAAGAAAATAATTATTGTAAAATTCTGCATAAGAAATTTGTATATATCGGCAGCAAATCTTAATTCAAGAATTTTGGATATATGTCTATTTTTATTTTAATCCTCTCGAATTCTCGGATCAACTTCACATTCATAAATTCATTAATTCGAATCAACTTCATAATTTTGATATTAAATTCATTAATTCATTCATATATATATTTGTGTTAATTCATGCATTCATATATATATATATATATATATATATATATATATATATATGTGTGTGTGTGTGTGTGTGTGTGTGCGTGTGTGTGTATTATTTCAAACGTTATTTTTCATGAATACCTCTATTTAAGTAAACGCTCAGTTTTATTTTTAAGAGTATTTGTTTCGTCTATCGGCCTGCACGCCTAGGATTCGAACTTGCGTCTTCCTTTGCGGGAGAAGCCATCGTCTGACACGGCGTGCTTTAACCACCCAGCCACGAAGAGCTTCACGATCGATCGAGGTTCTATTTGCCTTTAGAGCACACTCACTAGTTCAGATTTTCTCGAAAGTCATATCTCCTGAGTTTCGTATCCGTAACAAATCAATTTCTAAAGTATTAATGCATTTTATTTTTGAATGCAAGATATTTTCAAATAACGTTTGATATAATAAAATATGCCAAATCAATATATATATATATATATATATATATATATATATATATATATATATATATATATATATATATGTGTGTGTTTGTGTGTTTGTGTGTTTGTGTGTGTGTGTACCTGTTTGGGGATGTATGTGTAGACACGTATGTATATGTAAAAGGTTAAAAGAGGCAATTTTTTATGAAGAAGAAAGAATAAAATATCACCAAACAGGGAAAAAAATCTTTTTTGGGTGAATAACTTAAAAATTCAACAAGTTTTCGATTTGTGTGGATACATAAAGGCGTTTTGAAATGCAGGGAATTAATCTCTCTTTTCTTCCTTCCTTTTGATGAGTATCTTTCTGTATATTCTAGAGTAAGCGGAAGTTAACTGTTTCAAATCAAAAGATCAAATGACTAAAATAAACATACCACGCAAAGGCTCCGCGCAACCTTCCGGTTTCAAACGTATTTCAAATGAATAAAAATAAAGAATAGCCAATAAAATCAGCTCCCGCCAATAAATAAACATAGGCTTCTGGAGCCTACACGAAACCATATAAACCAGACATCCATGCAACTCAACACAAAAACTGACAGCAGTAAAGAGAGACGATTCAACATCGTCGTCGTGTCTTTCTCACAAAAGCAACAGCGAACTCCATTTGATCTTGTCCCCTAACTCCATTTTCTCTCTTCTTCACTGAAAGACTATTTATTTTCATTTCTTTTTCAGTCAAAGAGAAGAACTTTCTAAATACAAATTTTTATTTCGTGATAGTAGTTACAGTTAAGAAATTGTGTATTTTATGTTAAATAAATATCGTCATTTTATTTGAACACCTTGCAACCCTTTCTCTCATTTGTATTCAACAAATGGTGACCCATGGAATCCTTTCCCAACAATATATATTTCGCGCGGACGTAATTATCAGCACATGATTTGTTGCGTCAAAATAATTTTCATTTCTAAGTGTGTTAGGTGACAGATATTAAAATTTAAATACTTATTACGGATGCCAGAAAGATGAAATTTTACAGCATGGTAATTTGATATAAGTTTTAAATGATGTCAAAATTTGATCTTTTTTCGTAAATTATAATTTGATTAAGTTCTATGTTCATTTGGTTTCTTATTCGTCGTAATATAATTTCTTATTAACAATATTTAATAAAAATAAGTTTTATTTTGTTTGAAATTGGTCAACGTACAAATATGTTTTAATAATGTATCTGTTGTAATTTAAGAGTATGAAATCTATTTTATTAAATGTTAATTTATATAGATTTTTATAATTATTCATGATGTACATGTAATAATCATGCCATAGATACATGGTATATTGTATATTTACGGTACATACCATAAACGTTTATTGAATCATTTGCAAAAAGCATAGATGAAATCCGAGGATGCGTGTAAATCGATGATGAGTTTGTTCTATTATATTGAACTCTCCAATCACTTGATATTTGTTGTTTCGTATTTGATTGGCTGGGTTTGTTTTGAATCCTCCAATCATTTGATATTTGTTCTTTCGTATTTGATTGGCTGGGTTTGTTTTGAACCCTCCAATCTCTTAAGATTTGTTCTTTCGCATTTTATTGACTGGGTTTGTTTTGTTCTATCCATTCGCTTGATATTTTCTTCTTTTGCATTTGACTTCCATATTGACTTGTTTTCTTTAAAAAAAACATCCTAATTCTTTTAAGGCCGACCCAGGGAACCCAAACGCTGCCAAAGATACAACAGTAGAAGTGATACAAGAGAAATTCATATTCACAGATATCTTCACTGCAAGGTGAGTCAATTAGTGAACACTCAGAACAGATCTACAATTGTTCTGATTTTATATGCAAACCTTCAAGGTTTTTTAAATTCTCTTGGAAGATTGTTTTAACAGATGTTTACGACTTTTATCCCCACCCCCACAAAAAGCTAAGCATAATAACTATATTAAAGTTGTGCCTACTGTAATACGTTAGCAGACTCGTTTCCCGGACCTGTGGAGATTATACTGCCTTGTCTGCCAGGACACCCGTCAGGTGGTGTTTTGTTCGGGCCTATAAAAGGAAGCGGTGTAAACTCTTTTTTTCTCTCTTTTTTTGCTCCGCGATGTACCGCGGCAAACCGACGAGTTATTTTCAAATAAACCACGTGGACATTACACACACGCACACACTTGCACTACATCTAAGTACATAAATGGTTACTTGGCTTTTTTTTTAATTATCTGTATATACGTAAATATAATTTTATCTTCCTCTTTTTTTGTGTGCTATGTTAACTTCGTTTCGTTTGAAAATGTTGAACTCATTTTGAAAGTCCTCAATCTCTTATGTCACAATGGTACACTCCTCCTACTACAAATTGGTAACAGCAACCTCGTTCATTACAGCCCGTCTACTACAGAGCAATTCGCTAGTGTAAAGAATTTAATCCTGATTGAGCTGCTAGTACGAGAGTTTGACGAGAATTTGCAAGTCCGACTCATTTTTAAAAAATCTGAACAAATGGCCAAAACATTAGAATTTATGAACATTCAGATCTCCAGACTAACTTTTTTGTCAATCGTCCCGGAACCTTTTTTAAAAATATTTTAATCCGTCTTGAATTTATTTTTTAAAACATCTTTTTTTCACCTATAGTTTTTCGTAGCAAAATAAAAGCACAATTAAAGTATTTAGGAAATAAATTAAAGAAGCTAAATTATTAAAGTTTTATATTCTTGTATTATTTCGAGCTATTGTTCTCAACTTGGTTCATATATACGGTGGCGTAGTGGATATAGGAATTAGTTCAACAGATTTTACTGGTTCTGGAGGTCATGAGTTCAGTTTATAAAATCGTATATCTTTATTCTTATTTAAATATTTTAGCTAAATCAACTTTGAATACATCTTCATCTTAAGGCTAACTTTTATGATACAGAATTCTGTTCTATGCATTCATTTTCTATATAGAAAGAATATGAGCGTATTCCAACTATGTATAACCAGGAAAGTATTTAAAGTTTTCATAAAAAAGTGTTCATTTACAAATACCTGCTCCGTGTCGTTGATTAAATGTTCCATGTTTATCATATTTTGAAATCACTCTTGCATTTTTAATGTGTTAAATAGGAATAAAGTGTCGCTGTTGACACTGTAGTTTGAACATAGATCGCCAGTGAGCAAACACGGGCGATCCCATTTTGAATAAGTAGATGACGTGATAGTAAAGGAAATGTATATATGAAAATAAGCGTGGCGTCTAATTGATCATCATTTCTGTTCTATCCTCTATTACTATACGGATCACTCTTTCTACACAATCTTCTATATCTATACTATTTACTATACTGATCATTATACGGATTACTATACGGATTACTATTCAGTGGTTACTTTTCGAGCGAGTATTATCGAGCAAGTACTCTTAGTGACAGTATTATTCGAAGGCGTCTGACACCAGTATTGTTCAACGGCGTTACTATAGTTGTATCTGCAATTACAAAGTCTCCTACATTACAAAGTGACAACGAGTATTCGTTGACAACACAAAACAATGTTGTTTTCTAATGGTTCATTCCATAGATGGGATTCTAACAGGTGCTACCATACCTGGTCATGGTAGACCTGGGAACAACAACAATTAAGAAGTGGTTCTACGTTCCTCAAAACCGCCAATCTGTTGATCGGAGGCCTTGCTGCCAGATGTAGTTTATTGTCATACCCAGGACTAAGAAGGTTCGGAAGGA